GGAACGTTTGCAACATTGTTCTCTTTGCTGACTTAATGGACTCTATATTCCTCTAGAACAGTGTTTCTCAACCTTTAACGAATCGTCGCCCCCTTCAATAAAACTGTTACCTATTATCGCTTCAAAATTCCGATGCCGAGGACCAAGACTAACACCAAATTCGTACTGCATTGAATAGACTAGTGACTAGTATAATAAATAAAAACAAGAACTTATACTGGAATGAATAAATAATATAAATAAAATAAACCTTTAACTATCCAGCAATAAAAATGTTTAATAAAAACGTTTTCAACCGTTTTTAAATGGCCATCTTCAGTTGAACCAATATTAAAAAAGAACACTAAAAAAGAACGCACGAAATACAAATTAAGCAGAAACCGAAATGCGCATGCGTAATTCATTGGACTTGCGTCTTCTGAAAATCTATAAATAACTTGCAAATATCATAAAAATAATAAAGCCACCAAAAAAAGGGGGGGAGAATATATGTTGATTACAAGGTGTTAATCTGCATTATTGTAAAAGGATTTCCAGGCATAAGATAACCCTTCCGCATCTCTATGATTAATGCATCACTTATTTATGTGCGCCTTGTGTATCTCTATCTTTTCAAGGTGTTTCATGCGTTCTTTTTTAGTGTTCTTTTTTAATATTGGTTCAACTGAAGATGGCCGTTTAAAAAGGTTAAAAACGTTTTTATTAAACATTTTTATTACTGGATAGTTAAAGGTTTATTTTATTTAGACTAGTATAATGTTGTTTGTTTAATTATTGTACGATATAACAAATAAAATATCTAATTATTCTTAATATAATGTTTTACTATATCACCCAGAAAATTGTTTTTTGCCCCCCCAAAATATAAATTGTTACTAATCGCCCCCTCAACATGGAAAAACACCACATAGGGGCGATATTGCCCCCGTTGAGAAACACTGCTCTAGAAGGAAAGGAAAATTGTATCTGTTGCATAATATGCAGCTATGAGATCTGCCAGAAGACATATAGACCATATGAATGGTGTTTATTGAGGAATGGGATCAACCACTTAATACACTCCTTTATATTAATATATACTTCTTTGTCAATGCAGATGCAAGAGAGTGCTACGAATGCTTCAGATTGCTACCCAACCGAAACTTTCTGACAAAATTTTGCTTGGCATTTAAATTTTACCTTTGGATCAACCTCAACCCCATTCTTACAATAGTATGTCTAGTTTTCAGTACAGTGACTTCCAATCTCCATTTGTAGCCTTGAATTTTTAACAACAGAATCCTTTTGTGATTTGTCCCCTTTTTTCTTGCTTTCACTTCTGAAGTACAACATTTTGTTCAACTAAAAAGTTTTTAATACTGATGAGATAGTTTGAACTTACTTCCAAGATTTCTTAGTGAATGCACAATTTTTCCAATTGCTCTCTTTCCAAAGACTCCCTTTTGCTATCTGTCATTTTCTTTCATTACTCCCAGGACATCTAGCAATAGTCTTAGAACTTTCCAGCCTTTCTATGATGCTATAAGCTATCCTTGTTGCCACTCTATATCCACAAAATGCTTAACTAAAATTTCTTTCCTTTTTTCGTGTTTGTCAAATTTGCCAACTGCAATTCTTTTTTAATCTTCATTAAGCTGCTCCATTTTGTTTACATTTAGAATATTGTTACCATAATAACATGAATTTAAATTGATGGAGTCTGAACAACAATACATGCTAGCACACTCTCAAATTTCTTTTTTAAAAAGATACCAAATATGCATGCCAAAATTGTGCAGATTCTTAGTTTATTCCTATATTTTTCTTTAAATAGCATTAAAAAAAATCATGAATACAAATAATGAGTTTGACATTTATAAATAAGAAAAAAATTAGTTTTTCATTATTCTTGATGCTGTAGTGAGTAGGAATTGACAAGGTTTGGTCTCACCATTGGTAAGGAGTACAAGGGATGTATAAAAAAAGAATCATACAAAATACAAATTAAATTAATACAAAACAATGTTTATATATCTCACAAGGATTCGACAATTGACACACTAGTACAATAATTATTAATATTACAATGATACTTAACCTAATAACAATAATTAAAATATATACCTACAAGGCAAGTACATGCTGAGATCACCAACACGTTCATTGAATCTAGTACAACCAAAACACGAATAAAAAGGCAAAATGCAAGTATATGCAAGTATATGCAAGTATGAATTCTTTCCTTAAAATTCCTTCCTTAACCAAGTTTTTTTTCACTCTGGACACACCCTACCTCTCGATGCAAACTTTAGCTCCAAAGAACAGAGGCAGTCTCTCACCACTATTCTTCTCCTTTCCCCACTAACTGTTCTGCTCAAGACCACCTCACCTGATCCCTTGAAGCCTTCCACTCATGTCTTCTCAACAAGTCCTCTCACAAAAACCAAGAAAAAAAAAGGTGCTTGCACATATTGTACTCTCCTCTTTATATCCCCCCACCATCCGGGGCTTACTCCTTAGTCACATGATGTCATTACAACCAACCACGAGCCAGTAAATAGTTGCCAAAGAAGGAGGCACATGACAAACAGAATGTTTTACAAGTAAACAGGTATTGTGACAACAAAAATCTGATACAGAACAAAACCGATATACAAGATATATAATTATAAAAACCAAAAAGAACAATTTAGTGACAGATCACTACAATGCCAATTATAGCCACTCAATAAAAAATTAGTGAAGCATGAAAAAGTAACAATAAAGAAAACGAATGTTGTAATGCCATTTTACTAATCAAAGCTCATGTATAAATTTGGTTATAAAACTTTTGGAAAAATCCTACCTACACTTTTGTAATATAATGTGATTATGATCACATTTGAAGTGATTTATTAAATTGTCAGTTCAATAACTATTATAATTATGAAGTTAATATTTTAAAATATTTAACATATATAATAATGTTAAAATAAAAATAGAATATAAAAAGTTATAGTTACATAGGCTGTTTTTTTTTTTTCGAGCTCTGATGGTTCATAAAAAAAAAAGACAAGTGTAAATAACAAAATGAATTTATTACTAAAAGTTAGGTATAAACATGGTTACTTTTAGAAATAATCAATGTGAAGATTGAGGCATTTTTCATATCTGTGGATGAGCTTTTCCATCCCCTTGTCAAAGTTGCCGCCAATGACTTGAGATGGGCCCTAACATTGTTTTGTAGATCATCATTAGTCTCGAACCTTTCAGACTTCCACCCAGCTTAAAACTTTTTAATGTGTGAAGACTCCACCTCTTTCCTGAACTGAAAACATGGCTAGCAGGGCAGAGGTTTGTGACTAATGACAATCTACAAAACAATGTTACCGTGTTTCCCCGAAAATAAGACAGTGTCTTATATTAATTTTTGCTCTGAAAAATGCGCTAGGTCTTATTTTCAGGGAATGTCTTATTTTTTCCTGAAAGAAGAATTCACATTTATTATTGAACAAAAAAATTCCCAAGTCGAACATAGACAAGAGTGACGTATATCCGGTGTGTTGAACTGTCGCCTTTTCATAACGTCAACATCGGACTCGATGACCAATTAGTGCTTACTGAACCGCAGCACTATGCAAATGTCATGTGGCGTGATTCCCGGCCGACCAATTAGCCATCACCAGCCGTAACGTTATGCAAATCTGTGATTCCCAAGCCATAGTCTTATGCAAATCATGCCGTGTGGCGTAATTGTCTGCTGACCAATCAGTGGCTGTACTTTCAAAAAGCCAACGGCCACTTTGAACCATCAGTCGATGACCGTTACGACTAAAAAAAACTTCGCTAGGTCTTACTTTCAGGGGTAGGTCTTATATTTCGCAATTCAGCAAAATCTGTGCTAGGTCTTATTTTCTGCGGATGTCTTATTTTCGGGGAAACACGGTATTAAGGCCATCTCAATTCACTGGTGGCAACATTCTATGACAAGGGGATGGAAAAGCTCATTCACAGATATGACAAATGCCTCAATCTTCATGGAGATTATGTCAAAAAGTAACCATGTTTGTACCTAACTTTTGTAATAAATTCATTTTGTTACTTACACTTGTTTTATGGACCATCAGAGGAAAAAAAACAACCCTCGTAATTACTTAATTTTTTTTTACTAAAATGTTGATTCTGATTCCTGTATTTATAATCTATAAGTATTCTTAAAATAATTTTAGATTGATTAAAACTAAGTATCTGTATTATTAATATTTGCATAAAACTAAATAAGTAAATTAATAGAGTAAATTATCTTGTATTGTCTAAAAAATTCTTAAAAATTCACTAAAGTTTTGAGTTATGTTAAAAACAAATTTTTCAAATCTGTAATTAATAATTTATATATTATTCTATTTCTGTTTTAAAAACCTCAGAATAACTCTGCATTACAAATGCAAATATTTAGTTAAATGGGATTATTAAATTCTATAATTCTTTATACTACCTTGAATTAAAAAAAAAAAAATGTGACATTTGATAAATATTACAAGATTCTAATAAAATATATGCTTATAATTATAAGCAAATTTCAATTATTTTTAATTTTATTTTACAAATATTACTCTAATTAAAAAATACAATTAGTTCATAACAATAAAATGACAAAATTTTTACAGTAGACCCCCCTATAAAACTAGATAATTCCTTGTTATATGAATTCCATGTTGTATGAGTCACTTAGATTTTACAAATACGTGAGTCGTTCACATCTTGGCACACGTATTTGTAAAATCTAAGTGACTTGTACAACATGGAATTCATATAACATGGAATTATCTCCAGTGTTATAGAGGGTCTACTGTATTTCAATTTTGATTTATAATGTTTAAAAGGTAATGATTTTATGTTGACTATTATGGATATTTGAATATACTAATTATTATATAATGAGTATGTATTTAGTTTTACACATTTCTTTTAAATTATTAATATTTATATTTAAATTGGCAAAATTAATATTAAAGTTTTATGATTGTATTTTTCAATTTCAGATGAAGTAGGATGTGTGGATCCAAAGGAATGCTATAAATATTGCCAAAATGAAGTTAGTTGTTCTAATACTGCTTATCCACGTTTGGTATTGGAGATAATGCCTTCTGGTAATTTTAAAAGTTTTTCTGAGCATTAATCATCCAATGTTTTTAAAAGAAAATTTTTCTGATCCTAGTTATATAATAGAAAATGTGATGGTATAGATTAAATATTCTGAATATAAAGTTTAGAAAGTCTTTCAATTACTCTTTTTGTAATATTTTCTATAATTCTTAACTAACTTTTTTATTTATTAATTTTTTAATCATATTGTATTAATAATCTTTTTCCAGTAACTTTTTATTATCTGATAAAATTTGGAAGAATTTATGACAATTTCATTGATGAAAGAGTAATTAAGCGATTAGTCATGAAGTTGTACAAACTTTGGCACCATATTATAAATTAGCAGGATTAAAATGCTGTTTTTCAGAAAGCCAAACTATTTACATTGAGATCTTTTGGTCACTTATATGGCCATCTTCAGCTAAACACACAAATACAAAAGAATAATGTAAATAGAGATTTAAATTTAAAATTGATCATGTACTAGAATTAAAATAATTTTTAACTTCATAATTATTTAAAATTTTAAATAAATATTAACTAATTAAACAATTAGTTTCTTATAAAAAGAAAAATCATATTTTCATAATATAATTGTGAAAGCTTTGTGCATATATCTTGTCAATGTTAATTGACAAAATATATGCACAAAGCTCAACCATTTCTATTAATAACATTAATTTTTTTAGCTAAGAAATATATATATTATTTGATCACATAGAAACTAGCTTTACCTCCAACATCAATTGTATTTTTATCTAAATAATCTAATAACTTCAAGACAGTGAAATGCCCTTTAATATATTGTGAAAGTGTGCAAAATTAGAATTTACCACAAAGGCAGACAGGATATATTTCATATCAGATGTAATAATCACTTCACGCCGACTTTTTCAATATTAAAGGATACACTTACGTGTTGTGGCGTTACAAACGGTGATTGTTTAGTCTGGATAAGTTCATAAGTACTTTCGATAACATACAGTTATCATCCTCAGGTATAAATTGAATACAACAGTTTATATTTTGAAATTTTCAAACAGTTTGTTGATTTGAACGAAGAAGTTAAATAGAACACCAATTTAAATTGAAATTGGGATATAGTTTAAAATATTTTCGCACAGCAGTATGAATGATGTAGTATTCACAAACAATAAGTGTTAAGCAACACTGGAGCTCTAGATTATAATGTTTAAATAGTGTTGTCCAAACCTTTCTCACTAACAAAGAGGAGCTAAAAATAGCACACCCCTGTTACCGTTTTTGTCTTGTATCTCTTAAAATAGTACGTCTTTTTAGAGCGATTGGTTTTATTTTACAGCTAACTACACAACCAATGCTAAGAAGATTATTATGTAACGACAGAGACATTGTTGAATTGAATGAAAAATCAGGAGTTTATCAAATTTCATTAAAGCATGATCGATCAGGAGAGGAAACTACTTATATAGGAGCCACAGCCAGAACACTACTATCTCGCATCACTGAACATCAAGAGGACATCCTAAATAGTAGACCATCTATGGAATTGGCGAAAAAAGTGCTTGATCATGAATATCAGCCAATCTGGACCCAAACAAAACTATTAAAAAGATGCAACATTCAAAAAGAACTTTTTATTTGAGAGAACTTATATATATTGACTCTTACACCATGCAATGCAACAACTCTAGAAATTCCACAAATATGGACAACACTGTTTAAACATTACAATCTGGATTTCTAGAGCTCCAGTGTTGCTTAGCACTTATTGTTTGTGAATACTACATCATTCATACTGCTGTGCGAAAATATTTTAAACTATATCCCAATTTCAATTTAAATTGGTGTTCTATTTAACTTCTTCGTTCAAATCAACAAGCTGTTCGAAAATTTCAAAATATAAACTGTTGTATTTGATTTATACCTGAGTATGGTAACTGTATGTTATCGAAAGTACTTGTGAACTTATCCAAACTCTAAACAATTATTGTTTGTAATGCCACAACACATAAGTGTATCCTTTAATAATGATATATTTTTCCAATTAAACTATTTAGCATCTTTATACAGATTTTATTTCATGGGATTCCAACTTCATGGTACAAATAGTAGCATGCAAAATTACAGCAAGAATAATAGATCATTATATCCAAAGCATGTGTACAATACAGATCCCGATTGCGACAATGTATATAACCCAAAACCTTAAAACTAACATTAAACACTAACTTAACACTAATGACAGAAAAAGGGATAAATTAAGAGGACAAAAGAAATGATATATACGATAGAAATAGGGATACAAGGGTCTTGTCCTTTTTTCAGCCTGTTTCTTTATGCGTACTGTCCGGTGGGATAACACATGTTCTTCTCCTATAACTGGCGAGTTCTTCTTCAATACTTTGGATTTTTCCTTCCACTGTCGTCAATACAACCTTAAAACAGGATCTTTTCTCTCAACTTATTTCTGAGATCTCTGGTTGTTGCTAATGCGACTCCTAGTATTCTCACCTTGTCCGTACACTCTGCAGTCCAGCCTAAGAATGACCTGCCACGTCACTTCTTTTTCCTCCAGTCCTGTTTACATTTTTGTTCCTCACATTTCTAGGAACTGGTCATCCCACCCAAGGGACAGGAAATAGATAAGAAAGTTCCAGAAGAAAATAGAACAATAGAACAAAGGGTAGAGAGAAGAAAGTAAACTTAAATTAATATGTATATTAATATGCGGTTGTATGCTAGATTTTTGTAAATCTAGCATACAACCGCAATATAACTGAGAATCCAGAGATTTATGAAAAAAGTTTTAAAATATCAGCTGATAACTTGAAGAATGTGATTCCTATTGGTTAATTTTCTTAATTGCTTGCTTAATTATGAGAATCATTCAAAAAGTTCTTGTAATAAAATAGAAAAATGGTTTATATGGTTTTGAGATTATTTTTATTTTTCAATATAATGTCCCTTATTATCAATACATTTTGTCCAATGACACTGAACAATGATATTATGCCTTCTATGAAATGGATTCTGGAAACTCTATGAAATAAGTCTACTGCTGTTATCTTATCTTCATTTGAAGAAAATTTCTCTCCAGCAATGTATTTTTTTCAGGTTATCTATTTCCAAATAGATAAAAATTTAATGGAGCTAACTCACATTACTAAAGTGCATATAGCAGCAAATCATATTATAATTTGTTGATTTTTCCAATCATTGTCTTTGTGAAAGATGACTTTTTTCTTTGCTAATCCTAGTCTAGTTTTCTTTTCTTGAAAGGTAAAAAATAACAGGAGGATGCTAATCTTTTGAACCACTTAGTTTTGGAAGATAATCTATTAGAATATTCCTTTAACATCCCAGAAAACTGATACTGTGACTTTTCCTACAAATGGAACCACTTTTGCCTACTTTGGTGCCAAGCATCTGGGTTCCGTCTTTTGTTTTCATTGTTTTGTTTCTAGTGTGTACTGATGGACCCAAGTCTCATCTATGGTAACAAATCTGTGTGCAAAATCAGTTTTGTTTTTCTTGAAACAATCCATACAATCTTAAAAAATTTGAGCAAGAACTTGTTTTTGACAACACAACATCACATTAACCCGATAAATATAAATTAATACACAACCAACCATCAACCATAATAATAGGGCAGATTACAAGCAACAAATATTAAATTTGGAAATTATATGATAAGGCGTTAGGCGCCATCTATTGACAAAAGTAGTAACTAGGATCTTAGATTTCCAGGCCGATTCTTTCCTTCCAGACTACTATAAATTCTAAAACTTAAAATTTAAAATCCTTGTTACTACTATTGTCAATAGATGGCAAATGCCTTATCACATAATTTCCAAATTTAATATTTGTTGCTTGTAATCTGCCCGATTATTACGGTTGATGGTTGGTTGTCTATTAATTTTTTTGTTAGGTGTTGCATTTGTTAACAGTTAATCTTGTGACTAGTTTTCTGATATGTAATTATTCAGTCAAGATACAAAATGCTGATTCAAAATGCTTACAACTTTAGCAATGTCAGATACCTTTAATTGTCAGTGACACATTATTTTATGGGCAAAAAGGACAATTGCCTAGGCCCTCCACAAACAGGGACTCCAAACTAATCTTTTGTAAACTCATTACAGTAGTAAGAATATCAAAATTTAAATTTGGCATCATATTGGAGGACTCTAGAGTGCTGGTGTGGCACAGGCTTAACACAGAACTTAATCCTGCAGAGGTTGTGTTGAAAAAATAAATGAGGATATCAAGGGATTCCCAAAAAATTTCTCAGAAGAAAAATATCTGAATAGGACCTCTAATTTGAATTTGCCTGGCCCCATGAAGCTATAATGCACCAGTGTTAATTGTTGGTCTTATAAAATTATATTGTGAATTTTGTTAATGATTTCTGGTGTTGATGCACTTTTCAGATATCCACTGAAAGGATCATTTCCCAGTCTTTCATGACCATATTTAAATTCAGTTCTGAAAATTGTTAAAAATGAAAAAGCAGAATCCTCTACAATATTTTTCATATCTCTGCAAATTTCTGTTGGTGATAACTTTTTCTAACAAAATATTTAATAACCGCACAATTTTTTTTGTAAACAGTGTAAAACACATTTTATTAAATTTAAACAAATGTCAACAGTAAAGTAACGTATGGAACAACTACAAATTTCACATATGTTCATACCACAGATTTATGATACCACTGCACTAAAACTTTCAACTATACTATCACATCTATGCTTAATTCTGAATGACCCAAATAGTTTCAAATAATTGTAAAGTTCAAGTTATTTTGCATTCAAATTAATTTTAACTCCATAATATCTGCTTTATTGGAGTTAACTTTAATAACACGTTTTACTCATGTACTTCTGAAAAACCAAGTCCATTGTCAAGGGGATACAAGGAAGTCACCTAAGTCTGTACAACCAGTAGTGGATCATCACAAGGTGCAAGAAGCATGTGTTTGAGGCCTCCAAAAGTTAGTAGCTTGAAAAAGAGAAGCATTATGAAAACCTCAAGCACAGATACTACCTTCATCAAGACAATTTGCTGTAAACAGCACAGTAAAAGTTTTTACTACTTAATAACTGACAAATAAAATTTCCTTTTTGACTGAGAAAATATCTTGAGTAATAAGTAATGTTTAAAATTCTTTGTGTGTGTACATACCCGCTATCCAAACAAGTGCAGCTGATCTCTTATAAACTCCTGCAGTTTATAAATCTCTTATAAACTGCAGGAACAGATTAAAATGTTTTTAACTGTTTGCATTTGGTGTGGTTGGTGGTTTTAGTGTCACTTTTTTTCCCTTCTCGTTTTTGTAAAGAAAACATTATACAGTAAGTACTCATGTATTAAATCATTGTTTATTATGTACAATAAGTACTGTTTTATTATGATTACTGGTTATTACACCATCAGCTGCAAGGAACCATTCAAAACAGTAAAATTCATTGCATTTTAGTCAATTATTAGAATCATACTATCCAATATTAAAATTGATATATCAATATATTTTTTTTTTTTTTTTTGACTCTCCATCTTATGGGCACTAGTTGGTCTTTTACTTTTCGGCTGTCATATATAACAGAGGGAAAGTATGGTGATCAATCGAAAAATGATTCCAAGATTTTTACATTTTTAGATTCAGGATCTTGAAACATAAAGAAATACAAAAATAAAGCTGGGATTAAATAGAGAAACTATTCTAATCTCAGCATTGGGGTGAAATCTACACTACACTAGCATCCAGAGCCTGTAACCTGTGCATGACACGTATATATTGTATACCGCTGCTGACGAACATTTCTTAACAATCTTTTGCTCTTCTTCAGATCAACTGGAATCCAGGAACTGGTCAACTCTGTCCAGGGAATTCCAGTTGACCTGAAGAAAAGCAAAGAGATTGTTCAAAAACATTCATCAACAGCAGTATACAATATATACACATCATGCACCAGTTACAGGCTCCGGATAGTGTAGTGTAAGGCTGGGAATTTTTCTTTATATATGGATATTAGTGTGGATGGGTGGGTAATATAATTTTGTTCACACAACTTGAAGTTTAATAACTCCTGTGACTTTTGTCAAAAATTTCAGTAATTTTGAAGATTTATGTATTAGGGACATTGATGATATTAAATTTTGGTGGTTAAAGACCAAGGGTATGGGGAAATAGGGGTTGTTATATCTTGAGTGGGATTGGAATTAATGAAGATTTTACTTTTCATTAGAATTTACAATTTTCTTCATAAAACTCTCTACCCTCAAAATAAAAGCTTTTGCTATTATATAATAATTAGTAATATAAAAACTTTTTAAAATAAAATCTCATAACAGATGGCACTACTGTATATACAATTTGATTTTTTCTTAGGAAAGCTATGCAACTCTTTGCTTTGATTTTTTTTTATTAAGTTATGCTATCAAATCAATTTGTTACTGAGTATTTAGAACAATGAAGACTCAAAATCAGATTGTGTTTGGAACCTACCATGTGCTTGATCTGTCACAGTAAAACGCCAGAATTTATGTAACAACTGATCGTTTTCTCTTTTTTCTAACTTTATTTTATATTCTATTTATAACAAAAATCAGCTCTATTTGAGCTCCAACAAAACAAATTTTTGTTGATATTATAAAAAATTATTGTTAAATTCAGTATAGGACAGAATGAACACAACAAATCAATTTTAAATTTAAATCTTCTTTCTACATTTTTGAATTTATGATTAGCTGAAAATGGCCATTTCTATACATATAATATTTCAGTTGTCTGAAAATAGCAGCTTCATCCAGTAGTTCACGAAGAAGTGATCATTTTTATTTTCCTTCTAAAAATATATTGATCTTAATTTTTATAGCATTTTTGTCAGCAATAATGTGCTAAACATATACTAAACTATATTACATAATCTAAGCTGTTGTTTTTGAGATTGAAAATTATATTTCTAATATTAATGACTCTCTTGAAACTGGAGAGCCACTGCTCAATAAATCAAGCTGAGAGCCTGGCTATAGTAAAGGCACTTCAGTATGTGGAAGTGCACCACAAAAATCTCAAAAATCCAATTGTTATCTATAGCAATAGCAGGACCTCTCTCCTTCAAATTTATAAGTTAAATACTAAGTACACAATCGTTAAATGTATCATGACCTACCTTCAGTGCCTTGAGTTGGCAGGCCTTACATTATCATTCTCGTGTATAAGGGGCCACTTGGGCATAGACAGTAATGAGAGGGATGACCTCCTTGCAAAGAAGGCTGCTCAGTTGCAGAGAAAAGCAGCCTTTGGGAAGCTCCCTAGCTGCTTGCTTCATATTGAACTGAAAAACCACACCATGGAAAGCTGGCAACTTAGATGAGACAACAAAAACATGGGAAGATCAACACACGAATTTCTTCTGATTATCAAGAACAGGCAAAAAATGGACTTCTTTGTACCAGACTTTCATATCACCTAAATATCGACTGGTCATGGGAACTTCCATTTTTACTTAAGGAGATTTCCAGCAAAAAGTGTGACTGCCCACTTGGGGAAGAAGATACTGCTCACATCCTCTTTGTGTGCAGCAAGTACACCTCACAGCAGAAAACTCTCATCGACTCCATATACCATCATGGGCTACACTGGCTCTGTACTGTTAAAGACTTTTTTCTTAACAAAAAGACCTACAGCACTCTGAGGACCTTTTGTCATTGACTTTGGGGTCACGGCCTCATCTTTCTTAGTATTGGTCTACTCTTCCTTGTACAATACATTCCCTATGTACAGTACCTTGGCCAATAGGCTGTTAAGGGAGTTTTCTATCTGTAGTTATATGTTGTTGTTGTTTTTTTTGTTCAAGTTTTCTTTGAATTTGAGCAGTTCCCAAGTCCCAGGGGTGGCCTTTCATGTTGTTTTCATCTGAGGATCACTGTTTGTTTACTCATCAGGTCTAAGTATAGGCTGCTTTATGGGCCCAAGGTTGGGATATGTTCCCCATCTTTTGTACATATGGGTTTATTTGTTTTCGGCTGTCCCCAGTAGCGAAGTGCTTGCCCTTTCGGGTTGCTGTCATCTGCAGGCCCACTGTTTGTTAACCCATTGGGCCTAAGTGAGGGCTGTTCATGGGTCCTAGGTTGAGAAGTGCTCAACCACTTGTTTTTGTATCATTTCCTTTTGTTTTTATTATTTTCATGTAAATTTTGTTTTGGGTTTGTTTGTTACTTGGCAACCCCATTGTCACCATTAGGTGTCTGGCCATTTGTGTTGCTGCTATTTGTATATTGCTACACCTGCCTCACCAGAGGTAGCCCCTTCGGCATCCATGCCTTTCTGTAATTCTTTTATATTCACTGTTTGATTATGGGCTATGCCCCATGTTTTGTACATTTTGTTAATTTCAATTAATGAAACCACCTAGGCACTCTGAAGTCTCATGTTTCACACTTTCTTATTAGTCTTTTCTTTTCTTCCTTTTCAAAGGCTATGCTGTAAGTTTGGGCCTCTATGCCTTTCCAAGGAAAAAAAATTAATACTTTTGAAATCTACTCCAGCAAAAAGTTGAATGAAACAAAAATGTTTTTAACCCAAGTTGATAGTTCATCAGTTGATATCCTAAAATAAAACATATTTGAATAAAAATAACATTTAATACAAACCCAAAGAATAAAACAAAATATAAAATTTTATGAAATTCTAATATATGAAATGTTTAGTATATGGGCATTGTAAATTAGAAAATAAAAAGCTCGCATTATATTGACACATTCTTACACACAACTGTTATATCATTAATTAAAATTGATTTTAAAATTTTTCTTTTAGGGTTACGTGGATTAATGATGGCAGTTATGATAGCTGCACTAATGAGTGACCTTACGTCCATATTTAATAGTGCAAGTACTTTGTTTACGATGGATATTTGGCCTCAAATTAGAAAGAAAGCTACTGTAAAAGAATTAATGATAGTTGGGAGGTATTGCATTTTACCAAAAGAAAATATTTTTATTAACATTAAATATATTATGTAATCTTGAATTATTTGTGTAGGGTATTTGTAATTATCATGATTGGAGTCAGTATTGTATGGATTCCAGTCATTCAAGCAATGCAAGGAGGTCAATTATTCATATATATACAAGCCATTTCAGCATATTTAGCCCCGCCTATAGCTGCTGTTTATGTCTTTGCTATTTTATGGAAGAGAATGAATGAAAAGGTAAATTTATATCAAAACCTATTAAATAAATTTAGTAAAATTTTAACATAACAATAACAAAATATTGATATCATAATATGAAAACTTAATGTATCAGTGATTGATTAATAACAAATTATCAAAGTTCTAAACTTCAGGATATCAGATAAATCATTAATTAAAATTTTCTGTATTAGTAGATATTTTCTCAGGCTTTTCTAGAGATATTTAAAATTTATCATTATGTCAGCTATCTACAAACATTTAAAAAGTATCTTCAAGAGAAATATAAAAATTCAATACCCACCACTAGTGTTGGATTAAATTTATAAGTGCGATGTCGGCTTTTCTTTGTTACTAGGCTTATTACACCATCATTCAGTACAAGACCAGCTTTAGAAAATCACATTTTATTTTCAAGAGAATGCATTTCGTACGTTTAGTCCCTCATCAGCTCTTTATGATGTAACTATATTTAATTAACACAGGAAATAATGCATACAAGTTTAACAGGAAAAAACTTTTTAAAAATTGTAATTTAACTTGCATATTTATGAAACGTACAGTAAGGATAACAATTGGTAAAAAACTGAGTAAAAATTATTGTTATCCTGGTATTTTCTATAATAATAGTAGAATGTTAATTATTTAAAAAATACAATATATATAATGTAAATGTTGGTATGATACATCAAGTTGTATAAATAAGATAAGCAGTGAAAGACAAACAGTATACATAATGAAGGACACTGTTAAAACCATAACATAGCAAACAGTTTTACCATGAAAACAAGGAAATAAAAACTTATTTACTGTTAAGACACCAAGACCATAAACTTTGTTTATAGTAGAACTATAATATGATGAAGTGATTTGAAGAAAAATTTGTAGAGGAATTTGCTGCCATTTTTCTTTTTATTTACACATTCCTTTTCCCTATGCCCTTTTGGTCAGATATGGATACCATGTTTCATGTAATTTTAGGCCAGAATTATTATTCATTATTTTATTTTTGTTTTTTATTATTTTCAAATGCTCATTCCACCTTTGTTTGTTAGATTCTTTTTTTAACTATTTTGGCAATGCTTGGGCATTGCCAAAATGTCTCCTTACAGATCTGTACTGGGTGTTGGGACTTGGTTCAAAGCAGAACTTGTCACTGAAGATGATTTGTTCCCAATCACCACAGGTCCATGCTAATCAAGCCTGGCACCACTGCAATCATTCTTGACAATGCTTATGGGTCAGTGGCAGCCAGCAGCATAATGGGTGTCATGAGTGTTGATTCTACTTCTGTAAGTCATCTAGCAATAGTAATGGTGGTCACTCTGGCATTGGTCACATGTTAGATGGTTAATAATGATGACTGGTACCATTACAGCTGCTCAAACAATTGCTCTGTTATCACTCTAGGTCATCCACTGCTTGCTTTTCTCTGGACTTTGTCATTCAAGACCCATTCATGACTCTGATCCAAATGTTGGTTGATACATCAATTTGTCCATTCATTCTCTTTTAGTCCAGTGACACATCCTCTTTCAAACTGTCATATGATTGTAGTGGGCATGAATTCAATGGTGAGGTATTGTTCACAATCAACAATGATCAACACAATCAAAGTTTATTGAAAGTTCAGTTCCTCAAAGAAAGAATCATTTTTTATATACACCATCATAATGGGTACTTCCAATGCACTGTAGCTCACACCATTTATTCATTCATTGGGTGTTAATTTTTTATCATTTGAATATGTGGTCAAAAAATATGTGAATATGACACTTCATTGCAATTGGACTTTTTGGGATGCATCAATTTTTTGTCAAAAAGTATATATAATTTTTGTTTGCTGAAGATGATGATTAAATAGCTCAAAATTCTTATAATATATTTGAATTATATTGATATAAAAAGGCAATTTTAAAATTTATTATACAGTGGGTGATTGGTTAATGAACATAATCCGTTCCAAGACTTTGTTCACTATCCGAATTGTTTGTTAACTGATTATCTATTTACCATAGGTTTGTATGGGAATTTGATTAATTTGTTCCAGAGACCTTAAAAAATAAAAAATATATACTTTCTTACTATGTTTATTTAAATGTAATAATAAAAATACATACATACACAGTCTTGCATTTTTATTAGTCATGTTTTTTCCATTTGAAAGGCTTAAGGAATCTGTCTAATGTCAATTTGCTTTTCTCTCTTCAGGATTTTCAGAATTAATAGCATTGTAATTGTAAAGATCCCAAGCCTATTAATTCTAAGACCGTTGATCTGACATCTCCCACTTCCTCAAAAGATCTTTAATTAATAGCAGATATCAGCATTAATCCTCTTTTTCATAAAACATATCTCACCGAGTTTCTTGGTGTTCTTCATTCAAGAGTTCTTGGTGTTCTTCTGTTATCAGATCAGTTTCAGGTTCCATTATGAGCTCTTCAATGTTCTTTACTTCTCAGATGTGATATTTGTTACTCCTTTAGCTGCTTGAGTTTTCTTAATTATACTGTATCTTTCTTAGATAAGATTGAACTGCAGCCTACTGTAGATTTGTTCAAGCCATACTGCCCAGCAACATCAGACACCTTCTGCCCACTCTCTACCTTTGCTATTATACTCTCATCTTTCAAAAATAAAAACCAACGCAAAACTTAATGAGTGTCCGCTCGACAGTCTCATGAATACTATAAAAGAATTTTTTGTCAGAAAAATAAAAGGCTGGAATTACAAGGGAGTACAGTGGAACCCCAGTTAACGAACGTCCTGGTTAACGACCAAATCGGTTAACGAACTTTTATTTTGCAAAAATTTTCTCTCTGATAACGAACAAAATTCGGATAACAAACGTATCGGTATTTTGTGTCAAATTTTACTTGGTGTTAGGCATACGCGAGTTAAGCATTGCTTTTCCGAGTGTTTGTACTATACTTCTTTTTTCAGTTTTGTGATTTATATATTTAATCAATATGGCATCAAAGAAAGAAAAAAGTCATAGTGGCAATAGAAAAAGACAATGCGCTATCGGATTTGAGAAAGATTTTGCTTAAAAGAGTAAGACAATCAACTTTAGATCAATTTCTTGTTCCTTAC